AATCATATTTTATATCCCAATGATAATAAACTTACCATTTTATACAGGGTGTCCACATTGTACATTACAAAAATATTTTTAAAATGTGCGCTCGGTAGGCGTCGGACAATTCATAAAATTTCATTCATAAAATAATACTTTTTAAAAATCAAACGGTTTAGCCGCAAACTTCCGTGCCGTATAGCGTGAATAACCCTGTAGATTTTGTACAATTGCACTGTCGAGGCTGCGGCATTTGAATGCCACGGAATTTTTGATTATTCGCATGATCCGAATGTGTTTCAAATCTAGAGTCTCGTTCATTTCTTTATTGTTATGATTTGACTCATTTAATTTTTAATTTTAACATTTAATTTTTGTACATTTGCTTCAATTTCCAATTAGAAGTCAGCCATCAGTTTAGCTTCGCAACGGAGCAATTCAACTGAAAACGAGCTCGGAACGTCTTGAAACATTTCGGTTTTTCGGCCACAACAAAGAGCTTTTGTTCGCGAATGAGATCCGGCGAACGGTGCGCGCCTGATATTATTTAATATTCAACAAAAGACTCTGGCAAAGTTGTGGGGCCGCGCCAGACATTAAGACCGAGCCAGCGCTGACGACGCTAAAAAGCGCTGATATTGTTTGGGGCCGTGTGCCTCGCTCTTTTGCAGCGCAGCACTTAATTGCTCAGTTTTTCTCTGTTAGTTGCAATTGAGTTGATTCCAATCGGCACTCAATTATCAGAATCCTCCTTAGTGTTTCGGACCGATGTGGACCCAAAACCGGAACGGAACCGGAACGGAATAGTTTTCCGATTTGGTGCAACACACAATTCTCATCATGGCAACAGAGTAATTAGAGTGGCACTTACCAAAGTCCTGTTCGGTGGCAAAGCTGGCCACATCAATCGGCTCGTTATTCAGAACGAGATCCTTGAAACAGCCGACGAACCCTTGATGGAGCGCCGCTGTCCACAGGCCGGCCGGAACAGGAACGTCCGAAAAGGGGGGCCCCAAACCTCCAATGTACAAGTTGCTGTCCAGCTCTAAAGTGGCCGAACCCTCTACAAATCAGCCAAATTGAGCGCCATTGAGATTGAAATGTTGCGTTTGACTAAACATGCGCTATTTGGTGATATAAAACTCATAGACCCAGGATGAGATGAGTGGTGATTGGTCGAGCGAAAGCAGAGAGAGAGAGTTGAAAGTCACAGTATGTACAGAGTAACGAAAAGGAACCGGAACGGAAACAACAACCACACTACTAAAGGTATCTTCGGTACGGTTTGTCTCTGTTACTTACTTGAGTTCTTACCCATAGCTTTGAAATCGGTCTTCAACCCGTCAACGGACATCTGAGCATCGCGGCCCACTCTTCGGAACGTCACATTGTGCCAGGCGCCGTCGTTGATCCGTTTTTTGGAGCCGCGCTGCTTGGACGGTCCGGCCCCCAAATCTATCTGGATGTAGATCTGCCCATTGTAGATCTCTACAGCGAACAAATCCGTCTAGAAACGATAAGAGTGTCAGCATCGCTCATGCTAAGCGCCATTGTATTAGAAGCAGGAAACAGGGGAGTTTTTAGCCGCTTAAGGTCTAGCCATTGGGCGTTATTATGTAGGTACATTTACGTACGAGATATCTAAAAATGCCAGTGGCATTGCAACGTTTGCCGCCAATGATTCGAAACTGAAATACCTGGAAAAATTAAAGTTTCTGACTGAAACATTAGTTCGGGACTTACCCTGGGCGGTTTCCCGGAATTGAACAGAATCAGGCCGTAAGGCTCGTTGGTGCGGAATTTGAACGAAATGTTCCCGTCCTTTTTGGCGTTCCAGGTTGGCAGCACCTGGAATAAATGCGACCTTTACTTAGGGAATGGTTCCTTTGTCATGCCAATTGTACGCTTCCTTATTTTTGCTTCTACCTCTTTGGAGGTTAGGAATCAAGGAAAACCTCAAGTACAGCCAGCAACCTTTTCATCAGGACTAATTGGCCATAGCAAACTAATATAGACATAGCAAAAATAAGTTTGTGGGATATAAGGTGTTTTAATCATCAAAGGCTCCCAGTTTTTGACATGTTTGCTCCTATCGCTTTGGGGGTTAAGAATTACTGGAAAAGCTTCAGCAATAAAAAGCAGCTATCGAGTCGGGCTATCGAAAAGGTTCTGAAGATTGATTGTGTATTTCCAACCGTTTCAGAGATATGAAGTGTTTTTATCGTCGAATTCCTCCAAATGTTGGTATTTCTGCTTCCATCTCTATGGAGGTTGGGAATTTATGGAAAAACGTAAGTAATAAAAAACAGCTTTTAAGACGGCCTATCGAAAAGGTTCTGTAGGTTCATTGGTAAATTTCAATCGTTTCAGAGATATAGTGCTTTTAACGCTCGATTCTGTCTAATTTTTTGCATTTCTCTTTTTGGGAATTAAGAATTTGCAACAAAAAACAGCAGTAGCAGACAGCGCTACAGACGAGCTATCGAAACGGGTATAAAGCTTGATTGGACATTTTGCCCCTTTTCGGAGATAAGTGTGTTTAAACGCTGCTTTAACCAAATTTTTTCATTTTTGTTCCTATCTCTTTGGAGGTTAGGAATTTGCTTAAGAATTTCCGCAACAGAAAACAGCTTTTGAGACGGGCTATCGAAAACGTTCTGCAGATTGATTGTGTATTTCCAACCGTTTCAGAGATATGCAGTGTTTTAATCGTCGAATTCCTCCAAATGTTGGTATTTCTGCTTCTATCTCTATGAAGGTTGGAAATTTATGAAAAAACGTAAGTAATAAAAAACAGCGTTTAAGACAGGCTATCGAAATGTCCTGTAGGTTTATTGGTTATTTTCAATCGTTTCAGAGATATAGTGCTTTTAACGCTCGATTCTGCCTAATTTTTTGCATTTTTGCTTCTCTCTTTTTGGGAATTAACAATTTGCAACAAAAAGCAGCAGTAGCAGACAGCGCTAGAGACGAGCTATCGAAACGGGTATAAAACTTGATTGGACATTTTGCCCCTTTTCAGATATAAGTGTGTTTAAACGCTGCTTTAACCAATTTTTTTCATTTTTGCTCCTATCTCTTTGGAGGTTAGGAATTTGCTTAAGAACTTCCGCAACAGAAAACAGCTTTTGAGACGGGCTATCGAAAAGGTTCTGCAGAATGATTGTGTATTTCCAACCGTTTCAGAGATATGGAGTGTTTTAATCGTCGAATTCCTCCAAATGTTGGTATTTCTGCTTCCATCTCTATGGAGGTTAGGAATTTATGGAAAACGTAAGTAATAAAAGCAGCGTTTAAGACGGGCTATTGAAAAGGTTCTGTAGGTTCATTGGTTATTTTCAATCGTTTCAGAGATATAGTGCTTTTAACGCTCGATTCTGCCTATTTTTTTGCATTTTTGCTTCTCTCTTTTTGGGACTTAAGAATTTACAACAAAAATGAGCAGTAGCAGACAGTGCTAGAGACGAGCTATCGAAACGGGTATAAAGCTTGATTGGAGATTTTGCCCCTTTTCAGAGATAAGTGTGTTTAAACGCTGCTTTAACCAATTTTTTTCATTTTTGCTCCTATCTCTTTGGAGGTTAGGAATTTGCTTAAGAAACAGAAACAGCTTTTGAGACGGGCTATCGAAAAGGTTCTGAAGATTGATTGTGTATTTCCAACCGTTTCAGAGATATGGAGTGTTTTATCCGTCGAATTTCTCCAAATGTTGGTATTTCTGCTTCTATCTCCATGAAGGTTGGAAATTTATGAAAAAACGTAAGTAATAAAAAACAGCGTTTAAGACGGGCTATCGAAAAGGTCCTGTAGGTTTATTGGTTATTTTCATTCGTTTCAGAGATATAGTGCTTTTAACGCTCGATTCTGCCTAATTTTTTGCATTTTTGCTTCTCTCTTTTTGGGAATTAACAATTTGCAACAAAAAACAGCAGTACTAGATAGCGCTAGAGACGAGCTATCGAAACGGGTATAAAGCTTGATTGGACATTTTGCCCCTTTTCGGAGATAAGTGTGTTTAAACGCTGCTTTAACCAATTTTTTTCATTTTTGTTCCTATCTCTTTGGAGGTTAGGAATTTGCTTAAGAACTTCCGCAACAGAAAACAGCTTTTGAGACGGGCTATCGAAAAGGTTCTGAAGATTGATTGTGTATTTCCAACCGTTTCAGAGATATGAAGTGTTTTTATCGTCGAATTCCTCCAAATGTTGGTATTTCTGCTTCGATCTCTATGGGGGTTGGGAATTTATGGAAAAACGTAAGTAATAAAAAACAGCTTTTAAGACGGCCTATCGTAAAGGTTCTGTAGGTTCATTGGTTATTTTCAATCGTTTCAGAGATATAGTGCTTTTAACGATCGATTCTGCCTAATTTTTTGAATTTTTGCTTCTCTCTTTTTGGGAATTAAGAATTTGCAACAAAAAACAGCAGTAGCAGACAGCACTAGAGACAAGCTATCGAAGCGGGTATAAAGCTTGATTGGACATTTTGCCCCTTTTCAGAGATAAGTGTGTTTAAACGCTGCTTTAACCAATTTTTTTCATTTTTGCTCCTATATCTTTGGAGGTTAGGAATTTGCTTAAGAACTTCCGCAACAGAAAACAGCTTTTGAGACGGGCTATCGAAAAGGATCTAAAGATTTAATGGTTATTTCCAACCGTTTGAGAGATATAGTGTTTTTTACTATCGATTGTGTCCAATTTTTTAAAATTTTTGTTCCATATCTTTGACGATTAAGAATTTGCAACTTACTAAGACAGTACTGAATACTAGAAGACAGTAATTCTGAAGGTTGAATGGATATTTCCAGCCGTTGCAGAGGCAGGGTGTGTTAATCATCAAATCCCTCCAAATGTTGGCATTTTTGCTTCCATCTCTTTGCAGGTTAGAAATTTATGAATAAACTTAACCACAAAAAACACAAGTTGTTACGTTTGGTGGGGTATTGCCAACCATTCCAACCAACTAAGACATTCGAAGTGTGTTTCAACCTTGCTTTCATTTTTTTACGTTTTTACCTCTATTTTCTGGAGGTTAGTAATGTGTGAAAAACTTAACTAGCGGAATACAGTTCTTAAAAAGAGCCGTCGAAAAGCTGATTGCGATTGATCCAATATTTTCAAACATTTCGAAGATTTGAGGATTTGAACCATTCGGGACCGCACCTTAGAAGTGCGCCCAGTTTACACTTTTTTGCAAAATTTGCCTAGATGGTTCTACAAAACTGTAAACATTCTACTTCTAGTCATTCATTGCTGACAGTTGCATCAGTAGATAACTAATTCCAGTCGAATGACTGGAAGAATCAGGGGGAGCGAACAATCGATTTTCGCTGCTCAATGGATGGCTCCCCATAAAACTAATGAACTACGCGCGAAACTTATAATTACGTTTAATGGACAATTTAATCGATTACATCATTCAGGCCGGAATAATAATTTCGCAAATAGCGTGCTCCGGATTCGGCCCGATGGCGCACACAAAAGAGTTTTCGATGCACGCTTTTAGCAAAGGTAAAACAGGCCGAGTGAAACACTTACCAAATGCGACTCCCTCGTAGTGAARGAAATGGGATCGTGGGTYTCCCCAGTGGGGCATTTGTACTCCAATCGGCCCACCACTTGGATKAGATGGTTGCCAGCTCGGCCCAACTCCAGCAGGTTCAACCGCAATGTGTCGGCAACGAATTCAACCTGGGAACAATTCAGCTTGCAAATGTATTASATCTTTGGAAAAATAACTAAGAAACCGCACATAAATTGCACAGTGCGGACAAACTCTGTGGAAAAATCAGCATAAACCCGGCCAGGCTCATCAATTCGGACATTATTATTCCTGTCCCGTCGCCATCTGCTTTGTCGCCTGTATAATAAATAAATCCGCACCCTTTCCCCGTTCTACTTAATTTTAATTTCGCCGCCTAAGCCTTTGGATCTTGTCTCACGGAATCCATTAGCAAAATGTATCGTCCGTGACCGTGCGCCTGGATCGTTCCCAGTTGAGTCGCTCATCTTAAGAACAAGGCCTCAGTGCTCAACACGGCTGAAAATTGCGAAACACTGAAGAGTCTCTCTGAATCATGACTTGATTGACTGACAAAAATGTAATAACTCCAAATCTAGTCGTATTCTACACTGCAAAAAAATCATGCGTATTCAGCACCAAAACAGACATACTTTTACAAATTTCCTTGTAAATTAAATCATTCATTCGTGAGAAAAAATTAAATGCTGAAAAATCGGGGTTTTGTCATTTTGATGGTTAATTTGAGGTTATGTCAAAAAGTGTTAAATAGAAAAGTTTTAGACTTTTTTATTGTCTACAACACTGCCATTGAACGTTTTCCGCTAGGAGGTCGCATTTCCCCGCCAATAGCAAAAAACCGTCTACAACCCCCAAACTGCGCCCTCATTGTACCATTTCCAGTGTTTTGCGGCTTACATTTGATTTTTCCATAAAGTTGGAAACTCAACCACATTTTTCGCTTAATCTGACGTCTAGTCTTGAATCACTTTGTCTGATCAAATCATTTAATATAATATTCGAACCGAAGTATGGTGCACACAGACCTGTCCCCAGAGGAAATTTGCTCGGTATCCATGACAACCGGCGTTGTTTTGCTACAATTGCCCGTGAAGAAATGGGGATTGAACTGATTGCACTATCGGATTTTTTTAAATGTATTTTTCCAAATAATGGAAGCTGTCTGTTATTGGCACCCGAGATTTTTGCTTCAACATCCAGACAAATGAAGGCAAATTAGAACCTCAGCTTCAAAAATCTTATTTGCACTAAATTAAATCATTTGTGCCCAAGAACAAATTTAATTCTGAAAAATCGGGTTTCGGCCATTTTGATGGTTAATTTGAGGTTATGTCAAAAAGTGTTAAATAGAAACACTGCTTAGTCTACAACACCCCATTGAACGTTTTCCGCTAGGAGGTCGCGTTTCGCCGCCAATAGCAAAAAACCGTCTACAACCCCCAAACTGCGCCCCCATTGCACCATTTCCAGTGTTTT